GATGTGTATGTGTGTGTGTGTGTTTGTTTGTTTTTTAAAAAGATCTCTTCATGTGGAAAGAAAAAGTCAATATATCAAAATAGTTTACCGTGCAATTATTATTAATAACTGGGTAATTTTTTAAAAATAAAATAAATATAATAACTGTTTCTACACATTCTTATGATTTATTTAGCCTCAGTTGTCAGTTGGGAGGTTTATACATTTAAATAATAAGTGCTGGTGTACAAACCAGGAGATTGTGAGTTCTAGTTCCACCTTAGGCCTGAAAAACGGCTGGGTGACTCCGGGCCAATCACCAGGAGACCGTGAGTTCTAGTTCTGCCTTAGCTATAAAAAATCAGCTGGGTGAGTTTGGATCAATCTCTCTCTCTCTCTCTCTGAGCCCAGCCCACCTCACCTGGTTGTTGTTGTTGTGAGGAAAATAAGAAGTCCTAGATGTGGTTTCTGCCTGAAGTTATTTATAAATAAAAATGGGATAGAAATCAATCAAATAAATAAAATCTTAGGGGGGAAAAGGTGGATTGTTTTTTTCCCCCTGGTAGTATTGAACAATTACCATTCCACTAAAGAACCATGTGCTTCTTTTTAACAAAGTTACATTGGCTTTTATATCTAGATCTAGATTATAGATCTAGATACAGATAGATAGATAGATAGATAGATAGATAGATAGATAGATAGATAGATAGATAGAGAGAGAGAGAGAGATAGATAGATAGATAGATAGATAGATGATAGATAGATAGATATAGATATAGATATAGATAGATATAAATAGATATAGATATAGATATAGATATAGAATAGATAGATAGATAGAGAGAGATAGAGATAGAGATAGAGATAGATAGATAGATAGATAGATAGATAGATAGATAGATATAGATATAGATATAGATATAGATATAGATATAGATATAGATAGATAGATATAGATAGATATAAATAGATATAGATATAGATAGATAGATAGATAGATAGATAGATAGATATAGATAGATAGATAGAGATAGATAGAGATAGAGATAGAGATAGAGAGATATAAATATAGATATAGATAAAGCTCTCTCTGTCTCTTTTTTTTCCTTGCAGCTCGCATCCCAGACTCATCCCAGACTCAAATTGCCGACCGCTTGTGAATAGAGGCTTAAATGAACATGGCAACGTCGCCAGAGCCTGCTTTTCACTGGCACAAATGAGAGCCGTGTCTAAAAAAAAAAGCCATGCAGAGACTTCTCGGTGGGCAGCACATGGCTGTGGAGCGAGCGGCGAAGGCGAAGGAGGAGGAGGGACCCTCTTTTCCGACTGATGCTGCGCTTTGAAAGGCTTCCTCCTTATAAGAAGAGTTGCTAATTCAGAACTCGGTTCTTTCCCCCCCCCCCCCGATGTGGCGAATTCAGGGTGATCTGACCAGGGCTTGAAGGTGAGAAGTCCCAGCCTTTGCTCCTTGGAAAACCACCGTTCAAGTCTTTTGCTTTTCGTGCGAAGGGAGAGACGTACAGACTGCCTGGAATTAAAATGCCAGCGAAAGGCAAATACTTTTTAAACGAAAACGAAGGTTGCAAGTTGACAGACCCCTTGTATGAGAAGTACCTCTACGCAAGTCAACAACACCCACTGCTCTTCTTCCTGCTCTTCATTGTGGTTGCCTATTGCTCGACACTTATCGTGGTGCTCCTCTCTTACGACGTGAGTATGTGCTGCTCTCCTTAGTTTTTCGATTCTGAATAAGACCCGGACGCTCTAATTTTAGATGTATGAACCCGCGTGATATTAATGCAACCTTGGCCGTCATTTTTAAATGCATAGTGCCTTGCAGTTCTCCGAACAGGTCATCACCAGCAAGCTATGGAAAAGTTGATTTAAAAAGATACCAAAGCAGGTGCAGCCAGTTTGAAGAAATGCATAATATTATGGGGAACTTTAGGCAAAACTGCAAATAAGAATCTTATGTTTAGAGAAATGTAAGCGCGTTTTAGCGTAAACTTCAAAGAACCCCTCTTAAGCGCAAAGAAAGTTTTGGGAGCGTTCTCCTGCAATTCCTATCTGTACTTATTCACAGCAGCTTATATTTCTTGAGAAATGGAACTGAATCTGGAATCTGTTAAATGCTTCTCTGGCTGCTCTGTAATTTAGAGGAATCCTAGAACTTAAATCCTAAATGTAATAGGAATCTCTGATTACGATTGCTTGCAGCAAGACTGTAGATCTAACGTGATCATTTCTGAAATTCCACTGTTACGTTGACATTGTTATTGAGGTTGAATGCAGTTTTTTTTAATGCATAAAGATCTAGACTTATAAGAACAAACTCCTAAAAGTTTTTAGCCCAACCAGATATCAGAAGGAGGAATTACATGTGATAATACTTTCTGGTTAACTCTTTCTGTGATAACAATATAATAATAATAATAATAATAATAATAATAATAATAATAATAATAATAACAACAACAACAACAACAACAACAACAACAACAACAACAATAATAATAGACAAGCACCTGCAACATAACACCCCAGACTTAACAATTGTCGATAAGAAAGACAAAAAAGTCTGGACAGTGGACGTGGCAGTGCCTGGAGACAGCAGAATAGACGAGAAAGAACTGGAGAAGATAACAAAATACACAGACCTCCAAATAGAAATAGAAAGACTGTGGCAAAAGCAAGCAAGGGTAGTACCAATAGTAATAGGCGCCTTGGGTGCAATCCCAAAACAACTGGAGCACCACTTGAACACCATTGGCATTGACAAATTCGCTATTAGTCAATTGCAAAAGGCAGCCTTACTAGGAACTGCTTCCATCTTGCGACGATATCTGTAATACCATCAAACATCCACGTCTGCCTATCCCAGGTGCTTGGTAACGACTTGATAGGTAGACAAAAATGCCAAATCCAGTATGAACATATGGCTGACTGTGCGACGATCCATAATAATAATAATAATAATAATAATAATAATAATAATAATAATAATAATAATAATAATAATAATAATAATAATAATAGTAATAGTAATAGTAATAGTAATAATAATAATAATAATAGTAATAAATAAATAAAGTTGGAAGGGATCTTGGAGGTCATCTAGTCCAACCCCCTGCTCAGGCAGGAAACCCTATACCATTTCAGACAAATGGCTGTCCAGTCTCTTCTTAAAAACTTCCAGTGTTGGAGCATTCACCGCTTCTGGAGGCAGGTGGTTCCACTGGTTAATTGTTCTCACTGTCAGGAAGTTTCTCCTTAGTTCCAGGTTGCTTCTCTCCTTGATTAG